ACCTATATATATATATATATATATATATATAGCTAAAAAAAAAAGAAAAATAAAATATAACATTATTTTTAAAATATATTTTTTTTTACCAAAAAGATTTATTTGCCATTATGTTGTAATTTGAATTATGCTGTCTAATATTATTTTCAGATTTTTATATAATAAACTATAATTATTTATACTTTTAGGCAACAAATTTTTTTTTGGCAAGAAATAACCTATTTACTAATAGATATCATAATTTTGATTATATTAATTCGATGATTTATTTGTATTGATATTGTTGTTTAAGATAGTATATTATAATTTACCAAAAAAAGAATAAATTTACTAATATATTATAATTTTAATTCTAAATTAGTAAATATATTTCAACCTAGTCATTATACACACATAGAGGTATAGTTTCAAGAAAGCAAAGTTTAGAGATGTACTCATAGCATGCATCTATGCTCATAGAGAATTTCCTATTTTGTTAACAATTTAACGGTTTGCCATTTTTTCAACCATTCCAAGTCATGTGAAGGATTAGGGAAAAATTTATTCATTGAAAATTCCGTTGAAAAACTATTGCCAGGAAATAGGAAATTTTAAAAAAATATTAATAAGCTCACCTCTAGCTTCCCATGTAAATTATGTGATTTGCCTGTGTAGAGAAAAGCATCAAAGGTAAGCCATGGGGAAGAACAGGGCTAGAAAATCAAATGTTTTTGGCAAGAAATAATCTATTTACAAATAGACATTATAATTTCGATTATATTACAAAAACACTTAAAAAGATGGTTTATTCGTATTGATATTAGTTTTTAAGACAGTATATTATATATAATTTACTAATAAATAAATAAATTTACTAATATATTATACTTTCAATGCTAAATTAGTGAATACATTTCAACATAGTCAGTACACACAGAGGTGTGGTTTCAAGAAAACAAAGTTTAGAAATGTACTCATAGTATGCATCTATGCTCATAGAGAATTTCCTATTTTGTCTACAATTCAACAATTTGCTATTTTTCAACCATTCCAACTCGAGTAATGATCCTATGAGACCCTTCTACACCCATGTGTGTAGGACCCCAAAAGATCACCATTAAATTTGGTACAGATCTTTAGAAAAGTTATCACATGGGTGTGAGATTAATTTTTCTAAATATCTGTGCTAAATTTTAATGGTGATCATTTGGAGTCCTACACACATGGGTGTAGGAGGGTCTTTGGGATCATTACTCTTCCAACTCATGTGAAGAATTGGAGAAAAATTTATTTATTGAAAATTATGTAAAAAAACTATTGTATGGAAATTTATTTATTGAAAATTATGTAGAGAAACTATTTATTTATTAATAAGCTCACCTCCAGCTGCCCATGTAAATTATATGATTTGCCTGTGTAGAGAAAAGCATCAAAGGTAAGCCATGGGGAAGAACAATGTTAGAAAATTAAAGTTAACTGTAGCAGATCTAAAATTGAAAAATAATTAATTACTACTTGATTAACCTAAAACTGAAAATAATTCATTTTTTTGATCAAGTTAGAAGCACAAATTGTTAGGGCTGGGCATTAGAAAGAGATAGACCACATTGAGAGGGAGAGAGATGCATATCTTTTAGACTAATATTTGCCAATCATACAATCTAGTGAATTTCTTGGTTTTTTTTTTTTGCAAAATTTTAAAACACCCCCATTCCACAAACTTATTTTTTAAATTTAATTTTTCTCTACTTTTTTAACCTAGTTGTGTTTTGATAGATTATTCAAATAAGTTTTCCTATTTTTAGGTTTTTTGTTTTTTTTAATAGCTAAAGATTCCTGCTAGAGAAAGCAAAAGAACAGTATATGCTCCCCCGTGAACATGAAATCTTTTCACTTAATTAATTTTAAAAGATTTTATACTCACCTCAAAGCAAAATTTTTTTTTATTTTGTTTTGGGTAATTCAGCGGGGATGATGAGCCCCTACCCGTTTTTTCAATTCGTTAGTGGTTTTTGAATGCTTTAGTGAGAACGAAAGCCTAGGTGAGCTGGGGCCCCAGTGGTGCTACGACCATGCTCTTTTGCCAAAATTTTATGGGAATCGATCTTAAGCATATCTAAGTGGCAATGGATCATGCCCGAGACTGTTGACCAATTTTTTGCATTCATTCGTAACCCACCCTTTCCAAAGAGTAGAGTTCACCTATGGCGCATCTTACTTGCAACCCTTTTTATGTACTTTATGTAAGGAGAGGAATGCAAGAGTGGTTGAGGACACTTCAGAACATCAATAGAGATTAGCAGAACAGTCATGAGACTCGTAGTTCATTGGGCACAGGCCTCCTTAAATTTAAAGAGTTACCTTAAAGAGTTTCGTTTTCACCAACTTCCCTGATCTAAACATACAAAATCGAAAAAGAGTTTCAAATTAGCAGGAGGTGGAGGTCAGTTGAAGTTGAATTTTGATAGGAGTATTCGCACAGAAGCACCAAAAAGCTGGCTATGGAAGCATCGTAAAGTATTCATAAAGGAATGTCATATCCACCTATCATGGGCAGCCCAATTTGATATCAATGAGGCAGACTTTTAAGGCAAAGGCAAATAAATGTGTTTTAATGCTCCATGAATATCAAGCACGCATCTTCAGAGAGGGAGACGCTGCAAATGTTATCTAGTGTTGCGCTAGCCCACCCCCATCATAGATGAAATAATGCTAAACCTACAAGCCTGAGAGGTCATCTTTAACCATATCAACAGGGAGAAAAATGGAGAAGCTTACAGTCTAGCTAAATTAGCCACACTTCGATGCTATTTTTCCTGTTGCGCCAGTCTTGTTCTTTTCTTCCTTCTCCCTTCCCCGTTCCCCCTTCTTTTCCTTTTCTTGCTCTTAGGTCTCTCTTTCTGTTTTCTTTGTTGGGCTTCAGTTGTAAAACCCCTTTGTAATTTTTCATTTACTCAGTGTAAGTTACCGTTAACATTACAAAAAATATATGTTCCCCCAAGCAAGACCTCTACTAGGATATCCCAAAATTCGAAAACTGAACCTGTTCAACCTTTCAACCAACTTTGAAAATGCGTCACGGACCTGCCTAAAATATCACGTCCTAAAATTGAACATCAGCTGTCCAATTTAGGGATAGTCCGATCCAGGCAATCCGGAATTCATACTCTCTCTCTCTCTCTCCCCTAAACACTCACATGGCAACTTTTGAGACCGTTCAAACGTGGTATGGAACATGACATTGCTCCTCTTCCATAAATGGTATTGCAATCGAAATTGTTTACAAAGAAAAAAATGCTCAAGCATACTTCCGCCGTGATGACAAGGACTTCCGCAACAATGCCTCGTGAAACTCAGATCCTTGTAAAATGAAAACACCAACAACAATTTCGAAATATACTTTCAAGAGCACTAGTATATAAATGCACATGCGGATCACAGGCCAGTCTCATTTCTCGATTCCTTGTTGTAGATATTGAATGAGATCGTAGCCTGCAGTGGTCCATTTGTTGTAGGCATCGGTGCATGTCCGAATCATGAAATTTGCAGCCTCACGTTCACTCATCTCTGGGTGGAAGCGTTTTCGAAGATTTCCAATTGGGTCACCTCGACTGAAACAAGGAAGCCCACTATCTACCATGAGAAGGACTGTGTTGATGATCCCATCCATGTAGCGGCGAGCTGCAAGGTATCCCTTCACACAAAGACTACAACAAGAACATACATGAGCAGTGAGCGTACAAATTGAACAGAAGCTAAAGATAGGAGATCTATTGTTTAGGTTGTGCACGAAAAAGGGATATATGTTGCAATTATCAGTATGAATATGTATGCAGAGAAAAACAAGATAGGAATTCAGCACATGAGATGCACATATGTGTAGATGGGGAAAAAGTTTATATAAAGTGTCAACCTTGTACTGTTAAAATAAGGTGCACGTAAAAAATCCAATAGAGAATGTTGTTTCTATGCTGGAAAACCCTCAAATCATTCATCTCGACCTTGAGATTCATAGACATGAAAAAAAAAAAGATTTCATCTTCCAACGTATTATCTGGACTGTCCATTTTTTAGATTTTCAATTGTTTATAGATCTGCTTGATCGTCATCATTTCTGAAACTATAAATTTCATAATTGGGGGAAACAATAGATTTTTATACCATTGAAAGGCTTTGAGGCACTGAAATTGTATATTGGCATAGTTTTGACGTACAACTTACTTTAATAGTATAAGGTTGATACCTTAAACAAACCTCACCCGTGTACATGGTGTGTGAAAAGCTGCCTGAACATTATAGTAAATGCATGTTGTAAATGTGAGAATGAGAAGGGTAGAATGAACAAAACTGTGAACAAAATCGGGAAGTACAGGAACGCAACTGAGTGTTGTGACATGGGCGGAAAGTTCAAGAAAGCATATGAATAAAAGAATATCCTCACATTATTAGCATATTTATAAAAAAAAATACTGTCAGACACTAAAAAATATTTAATTTCATTGCAAGAACAGGAATGATGTTCTCAAAATAAAAAAAGAAGAAGAGGAGGAAAAATGATATCATAGTCTCTTTTTTAAACTCAAGAATTTGCTCTCTGAGATCCAAATACTGTCAGACACTAAAAAATATTTAATTTCATTGCAAGAACACGAATGATATTCTCAAAATAAAAAAAGAAGAAGAAGAATGATATCATAGTCTCTTTTTTAAATTCAAGAATTTGCTCTCTGAGATCCAACAGTTAAACATGAATTCCTTGAATGAAGAATCAACGAGGTTCTACCAACAAGACAATGTGTGTAGGTAGTAGGTACTTCTACAAATGTAAGGTTCTTGGCCACCCCAAACATAAGGGTATAACCATGTCATAAGAGCAAGAAGGTACATGGGTCTTGACAGGTGAAACAAATGTGTTAGAAACTGTCAAAGAAGAACAAAGAAGGCTCACCTCACAAATTGGTTCCAGGTTTCACTTTTCATTACCCCAGAAGGGTCAAGTAACTGGGTCATTTCATGGCTCAGCTTGAACTGTGCACTTTCAAAACGCATGTTTCCACCTGGTGATGTCTCTAGAATGAACCCAAAATCAATATGGACCAGCCTGCCCAAACTGCAACAGAGTCGGGTTAGTTTTTTGTCAAAACAGCAAGTTATCAATCATGCTAATGAGAAAGTCCCTGCAATTGGTGCATGAAAAGCATACTTATCAAAGAGAAGATTTCCATTATGGCGATCTTTTGGCTGGAGTAAGAGACTGGCAACCGCATAACCAGCACTGCTAATTATGAAATTATCACGAGCAACTTCAAACTTTGATGAACCAACAGGCCCATATTCTTGTTGGAATATCTCGTAAAGTCCACCATCAGTGGTTTCACCCATTTGGTTTCTACTCCGAGTGTTTGGAACAACCTGAAAGAATTGCGTCAAAGAGAGAAAGTGGGAGGATATAAGTACTAATTGTGTCTTCATAATAATTATATAATGGAAAACATTTACAGACAATTTCAAGAATTTTCCAAAACATTACATAGAAAAAAAAATAGCTTAGAAAAGAAAAAAAAGAAAATTAAGAAGCAAACAGAAAAAAAAAGAAAAACATAAAAAAACACAAGAAACAGGAGACTAATGCAAAGTGCATCATCTATAAATCTCTGGCTGGAGTATGTTCATACCCATGCACACACCCTTACAAGTCCATACACATGAACAAATGATAAGGTCTAAGGTCTAAGATCTCTCTCTCTCTCTCTTTATATATATATATATATATATATATATATATAGATATAACCCCAACCATAACCCCATCACCACCTCCACCATCACTATTGGCACCACCACTACCACTGCACCACAACTCTGCCCCCTGCTCCAGCATAGCCTGGCCACCACCACTCCACGACCCACTCCACTACCACCACCTAATGACCTCACTCTCTCTCTCTCTCTCTCTCTCCAGGGGTCAGGCAAACATAAGTCGAAATAACAAAAATATACGAACTTGACATCATAAACTGAAACAACCAAAAAAATAAGGAATTTGGTTTTTGAGAGGTTAACAATTGTATAGAGATTGGGGTTGTAATAGTACAAGATTAGGCCACCTCAGATTTTCAGGGGCTGTATACAACAAAAAATGGCTTCCCATATTCAGGAAGCACCATATAAAAAGCCCCTACAGGAAAGAGTATAAAGTGAAAACAGTAAGGGAAAAGGGTGGGAGACGTGGGTATGTGTTGGCTGGGTTTGCAAAGAAATACTCAGCCAGTGGCATTAATAGCACCCACCTTGGGGGAAGGGTGAGGAGAAAGCGGTGGAGAGAGGTGTACTTGGCGAGATTGGGATGACTGAGCCACATGGGAAGGGGGAAGGTAACAGTGTTTCAAAAAGTGTTAGACGGCACTTAGGTGGCAGGGGGCATCCAGGCCGCCCAGCGCCTAGGTGGGCACCTAGAACCTAGGCGGCACAGTAGAAAGAAAATGTTAAGTGTCTAAATCTAACTATGTAAGTATATAACACATAATCCATAATCCATATTTTCATGAATAAGGAGAATTTCGATAGTCCATAATCCATATTTTTATACAATGCTAGAACCATCCAAGCATACACACAAGAGTTAGATAGTAGAAACTAGAAACTAAAACTAAGAAAAAGAAAATATACGGAAATTCAGAAAATATACAGTCTACGACTCAATAGTTAACACTAAAGAGTAAAACGTCTTCAACTCTTCATTCTTCAGTCAACATCATCATCATCATCAGAATAAGTAGGGTAAGCATCATCATATGCATCAAATTCGAGGCCATCATCACAGTCATCTCCCTCTTCAACGTAATGCTTGTCCTCCGTTTCTTCTGAATTTGCCTCTTCCTCCTCTTCTTCTACCTCCAATTTACTATGTGCAGATGGGGCCCTAGGAGTCTTGGATGCTCTACCTGGTGCCTCTTCACCCTTTTCTTTCTTTTTGTGCTTACTTGAACTCAAATATTGTATAATCTCCTCCCTGGTAGCCTCAAGAACATTTACATGGGAAAAAATCCCCCTTAATACCAACAAGGTGTTTTTTGAACAGTAAATATCCCATTAGTATCGTTTCCACAATAATTAGATTTAATACGAATTTTGTCATTCGGATTTGGGTTATGACCATTCCTCCAACCCGGATCACTACTTCTAGAAGAACCTAGAAAAGATATTTCCATAGAACAAAGCTCATTTCCATCCTTTTCTGATTCTATTAAATTCAAATATTGTCTAATCTCATCTTGAATAGCTTCAAGAACTTTTTTACAATAAGCAACATTCTCTTTAATACCGGTAAGGTGTTTTTTAAATAAGTTAATACCCCCATTGGTATCTTTTTCACAAAAATCACACCTTATACAATTTTTATCGTTTGGTTTCGGGATATAATCATACTCTCAACCCGGATCACTTCTTCTAGCAGAATTAGAAATAGACCAATCCAAATGACAAGGACTTTGTTCCTGTTTGTATTTTACTGAACTCATATATTGGTTAATTTCCTCTCTGATAGCTTCAGGAACATTTTTATACCAGCAAGATGTTTTTTAAACCGGTTTATGCCCCCTTTTGTATCATTTTCACAATAATTGCATCTTATGCAGTTTTTGTCATTCAGATTCGGGTTATATCCATATTTCCAACTCGAATCACCACTTCGACTAGATCACGAAGAAATCTCAAGATAATACAAGCAATTTAAAAATTAAAGTTTTGCACTTACCTTGAACTCCAAACTTCCACCTCTCAAATATTTTCTGGTGCTAAAATCTTCAAAAACACCCTCTAGTAGGGGACTAAAAAAACTTCAAAACTAAATCTAATCTTAATGGTAATGTTTGGATCCATTTCCCGTAACTTTGAGAAACACTTCGATTCAATGAATATCACAAAATCTAGCTTTTTTTAGGATTCTCTCTCTCTAAAATAGGCTCTAGGGGATTTAGGTTTCAAATTAACCTAAAACCCACCTTTGAAAACAATTTTTTTTTCAAAAAAACCCGATAAAACCCCCTCAATAAATGGTATTTCGCCTCTGGGCAGGGCGCAGGCCTGGGCTGCCACCCAAGGCCGGGCACTTGCTTAGGCGGGTGCCATACCGCTTAGGCAGCCGCTCAGGGACCGCCTGTCTAGGCATTACTCAAGCCTTTTGGACCGCCTAGGCTGCCACTGAAGCGCTGGGCAATCCGCTTTTAAATTACTGGGAGGTAAAGATGGGGATGGGGACAGAGGGAGAAAAAAGTGGGTAGAGGGGAGAGAAGAAAGCAACTGAGGGTCAGAGGTAAGGGGGGCAGGTGTCACTTCCAAACAAGGTAGGTATGGGCAAGGTTGAGGTGGCAAAGGTAGAGGGAGGAGGACAGCTGGCGGTCAAACGGGTAGGTAGGGCGGTGGGAAAAGAGGGGATGAGGGGCTGTGACGAAGGGGGAGGCAGTGTTACAACCCTGCTATGCGGAGATGGATGTTTGAGACGAGCCCTAGGTTTATGCCTGCGAATCACTGTAGTCCACTCGTCGTGCATCAGAGGGGGTTGGCCACCGAGCTCCAAAGGTTGAACATGGCGAGCGGAGGGAGGAGAAGCCAATTGCCAGGCCAGGAGCATCTGGTAGTACAGGCCTCCCACCTCAAGCCACAAGGAATGGGGATGGACAGTGGATCGAGAATTTCTATCAACAGATGAATGGAGCCCATAGGTAACTGTTCGATGGATTTCTAGAGAATGGTGGTAAGGAAACCACATGCGTTTGAACGTGTCTGGGTCCAGGCATGGAGAGGGATGTCAAGGGCCCTCAATCAAACTTTTTGTGCGTGAAAGCCCCTAGCTCCTGGGTCCAAGGGGCTCAGAATAGGGAAGCCCCTTTGAAGGAAGCAGAGGACAGGGATGAAACCTAAGAAGCACTAGCTGACGAAGAAAAAGTGAAGAGAACTCTACCCATGGTGAGTTTCCTGCAGCAGAGATCAGGTTCGCATCAGAGGTTCTTGCCCCATTTTTCAATTCCTTGAATGTCATTGCGGCGACGATTGAAGTGCCTACCACAGAAGACGTGAGCTTCACTTTTAGGGCAGGGTTGAAGCAGCTGAAAATGAAGGATGGGGGAGAGAAGGGTAAGAAGGGGAAGAGTGGATAAATGAATGAGGGGCGGAGAGGGGGAAAAGGAAAAGGGGAGGGAGGGGGAGACTGCCGAAGGAGGGAGCTGAGACAGCAGGGGAGGAGGTGGAGACGAGGGGGCTGCCGGATGGATAAGATGAGGGAGGTGAGAGGCAAATGGGGGCTTGAGCAGATGAAAGTAGCAGGCATAAAAGGGAGGCAGGGAATAGATGAGTAGAAGCACTTGGAGGAATTTTACATAATTTTCCAATAATGATCAAGTTATGTCAGAATGATAAGCCAGCAAGTCAATGATAAATTGAACTTCGGCCACTGGCTGCACATAGCACCCACAAAAGTCCAATAGAACTGACAAACACAACCAACAAAGGCACTTGTATGGCGATGCTGTAAATGAAATGATAATAACACTGCAAGAAAAAACAAAACATGCAGAATATGAGAACGTCCAGACTTGCACATATATTGTTTTAGCAGAGTTTCAGAACATACCCACCTGCGATATTAATATGTGAAAGAAGTATAGAGTTGTTCAAAAACAGAGTACAAAGTGCATATACAAGGATTGAAATGTAAGGAGCATCAAGAGATCGCTACATGCAAACGACCCACCTACAACACTCCAAAGGCTACGCACTTAAGCTCTCGGTGTGAGGGGGCCAATTTATCATTGATAAGGTTTTCATTACCATTATTTGGAGGTGGTATGTGATCATCCAGAAAGCTATTCCGAGTTAATTCTCTCATCATTGTATAAATAGATTGTGATCATTTCTCTTTTACCCTCAGGATTCTTTCTTGCCATGTTACCATATGATAGAGAGGGAGACATCCACATATTGTAAAGGAACTCGTTGTAAAACTGCTTTTTACACCAATTGCCTATATGTTCTTCGGTGTGTAAGTTAGCTATTGTGGGAGTGTTGAATCTCCATAACACTATTTGATGGATATGCTGGACAAAGTTGCAAGCAATGTTTATAACTTGCTCAGGCCTCGGACTCGGCCCTAACCCATGAGTCGAGTAACACGATCATGTCTGAGTGGACTCGAGTGAGTAATGTACATTGCCCAAAAGACCCCAAAAAAATAAAAACAATTGTCAAAAATAAAATAGAAATTATAAAAGTGAAACAAAACCAAGAAAGAAGCATATATATATATATATATATATATACAAGAAAAAGCTGGGATTAGCCCACTAGCTCATATGAACATATGAGCCCAACGACCCAAATTGAATATGGGCCAATCTGATGATCACGGATGTCCG